AATTCCTGGGCCAGAGGGAGACATTTGATTGTCATATTATGATCTTATCACTGAGTATAAAAGCAGTCTTGTTTCATTTTGTATTCTTTCTTACGTTTATAAGAAAGAGTGTTTATGTTTCTTATGTTTATATACTTTGAATTTCCAAGCATATAATAATTTTTGGATAGCTTTTAGTCATTGACTTCTAGCACAATTCTATGATCAGAAACATGCGTGATTGGATTTCTCTGAAATATGCTGAGATTTGCTTGATGAACAAGATAATTGAGTTTAATTTTTGTAAATGTACCATGCATGCTTAAAATGAATGTTGCTCCACTTTCCCTCATCTGCCATCATCCGAGACACAGGATGATGGATGTTGGCTCCATGGATGTGATGGAGATGCTTTACTGTTGTGACCTTCTGCATCCTTCTGATGTTTTGTTGCTTAGAATATGAATGGCGGAGAGGGGGCTGTGGAGCCTCCCACTCTGCTTGTGTGTGAGGTTCTTCCTACCATCATTATGTTTTGCAGCCAAGACTGTGAGAAACCCTGGGAGCTCAGGAAGGAAGGAGCCGCTCAGAAGCAGGGACAGGGAGCTGGTGGGAAAGGCTAGAAGTCATGTCTGTGAAGGTTCCAGAGAGGACCTGTCCTTGGGAGTCAAGTAGGGGGCCTGAGATGGGGGAGGGGCATTGGAGGACACAGGTACTCCGTGGAATGTCCACTGTGAGGTACCGCATTCTGGGGCAGGGAATTGGTGGAGAGGGAGTATAAAGCCCCGGGGTTGCTTAGGCAGCACCCAGACAGGAGAAGGTTTGGTGGAAACCAGAGCCCTGGTCTCCATCTAATTGCTCCTGAGCATCCTGCTTTCTTGCCGTGCATATCCTGTTGCTTCCCTGATAGACTTTCTCCCTGACTTGTAGCTGAACCTCCCACTCTCGCTTGAAGACTTAGTTTAAACCGGATCCTTTCCCAGACCGCTTTCTCCTCCCCCTCCACCAGGTGCCCAACAGCCCCCTTCCCCTCCCTCTTCTTCCCTTCCATCCCCCTCCCCAACTCAGATCCCACCCCATCCCCATCCCCTTCCTTCCTCCAGCCCTAAGCTACTGTCATCTCTGTCCTTGTCGCCTCACGGCACCCTGAGAAGACCAGGAGATGCGGGTGTGGTGGCTGCTCTTTTGGATTCTCCTGCTGGAGTTTCCCAGCCATCAATCCACCCTTGTGAGTAGACACTGGACCCTTGGGGTTTCTTCCTTGTTATTGGGCTGTGTCATGTGGCACATTACACAGTGCAGGCTTGTAATTTCAGCACTTTGGGGGGTTAAGGTGGGCAGATCACCTGAGTCCAGGAGTTCAAGACTAGCCTGGGCATCATAGCCATACCCCATCTCTACAAAAGATTCCAAAAAAGATGAGTCAGGCCTGGTGGCTCATGTCTATAGTCTCAGCTACTGGAGAGGCTGAGGTGGGAGGATCGCTTGGGCCCAGGAGTTGAAGGTTGCAGTGAGCCGAGATCACCCACTGCACTCTTGTCTCAAACAAAAGGAACCAAAACAAAGTGAAATGTCATTTGAGTTTTGCATCATCTGGCATCTGGTTTGATGACTTTTTAGGAAATTCTGTGTCGTCCGTGTCTTCTGCTCTTGGGGGCTTTCTCTAGGGAGTCTGTCCAGTCAGTGTGATGGGAGCTGAGAAGCCCATCAGATGGAGAGGAAAGGGCTGTACCTGCTGGGAGGTTTGCAATGCGCAGGAGTCACTAGGAGTGACAGGACCAGGATGTGAATGACTGTATTGCCCTTTGTTTTGTAAAGTGCGTATGGTGCAGGTCATTGATTGATCCAAAGAAGAAAGGGTCTTCAAGTCCTTATGTTATCCAAATATAAAGAAATGACAGGCCTGGTGTAGTGGCTCACTTTTATAATTGGGAGGCTTAGGCTGGTGGATCTGTTGAGGTCAGGAGTTCCAGACCTGCCTGACCAACATGGTGAAACACTGTCTCTACTAAAAATACAGAAATTAGCTGGGCATAGTGGCAGGTACCTATAATCCCAGCTACTCAAGAATGGCATGAACCCAGGTGTCAGAGGTTGCAGCAAGCCAAGATTGCACCATTGCACTCCAGCCTGGGCAACTGAGTGGGACACTGTCTCAAAAAAAAAAAAAAAAATGTTTTTTTTTTTTTGGTTTGTAATTTTTCTTTTTTTGAGACAAAATTTCTCATCTCCTGGGCTGGAGTGCAATGGTGCGATCTCAGCTCACTGAAACCTCTGCCTCCCTAGTTCAAGTGATTCTGCTGCCTCATCCTCCTGAGTAGGTGGGATTCCAGGCCCTCGCCATCACACCTGGCTAATTTTTGTATTTTTAGTCGAGACAAGGTTTCACCATGTTGGCCAGGCTGGTCTGGAATTCCTGAACTCAGGTGATCCACCGGTTTCAGCATTCTCTCTCACAGTGCTAGGATTACAGGTGTAGGCCACTTTGCCTTGCTTTTTTGTGATTTTTTTTTTAAGATCATCAGCTATTATTAGTGTTAATGTATTTTATGTGTGGCCTAAGACAACTTTTCTTTTTTTAATATTGCCCAAGGAAGCCATAAAATTGGATATTCCTGCTTTACATCAAGAAAAAAACACACCGTACATTTGGAATGCCTAAAAACACTACCAGCCATGCAAAAAATGAGACTGGTAACTTCCAATCTGTTTTGAAGCAGTGGAATTCCCTGGTGATATCTGAGGGGTGTGGTTTCCTCCTGGAGGAGGTTGATGTTCTCTAAAGATTAGTATTATTTACTGAAATATTATAAATGTCATTGACCTTTTCATTATTTCAACTGTTATTATTCCAGGCGGTCAGGTTTCTACTTGATTATTTGTATCCTGGGCATGACCTTCTTGGTGTTCTGTGGATGCCTATCCCTATTGTGTTTCTGGGAGTTTCCACAGTTGGCCTTTTCCTCGGAAAAATTATCTTCTGTGTGAGTATACTAACTTCCTGTAGAGGTATACTTGTAATCACAAAGAAGAAATTATTTAAAACAATCTATGGTTCTGGACTTTATTATGAATATTCGGAAACATCAGGGAGATGATTTATTGGCCTAAGAATTATAAAAATATCATTTACATTATGAAAACTAAATAGGTTGGTGTTTGTTTAATAGAATGTCAACAGAGCTTTGGGTCAAAAATAAGTTTTTTTGTGTGCTCTTTATCAGAAATGGAGTATGAAGTTTTGGCATTTAAATAGGAAATTCTGTCTAAACTTTTCTGCTTTATGATTCTATTGTATGGCTGGAAGGAAAGCTTTCACTGTCCTCTCTAATGGTTCACTACATAAAAGAGCTAACAACAGACAGCTTAACAAGAGAAGAAAAGCATAGAACAGGCATAAACATGGGAGCCAGGCAAAAAAATGAGACTGTAAGAAGGGTCAGATGGTTAAAGAGCACCCTCTTTTCAGGGGTGAGGGAGATAGATGGAGATGGGGGCAATTTAGAGGGTCAGCAAATGAAAGAGTCCAAGGACCAAGCAGTTGGCCTGAGACAAAGTTCCTCTGAGATTGTAGGGATGAAGCAACAAACTGTAGGAAGGTGAAGGGCAGAGCTGCACTGCATCTCATGGTGCAGAGAAAGCCCCAGAGAATCTGTTTGAACTGCCTTTCAGAGAATCAATGAAAAGTATGTCTGGGCAGGGTAATTTCAAATGACACAATCAAAGTTCATGTTCCCGGTTGCAGGTGGAGAGGGATCAGTATGTCCAAAGTCTGTACTTGATAGGAATTTGGCCACTAAGTTGTGCCATCATTTGCGCTTTTTTTGTCCATTGGGTAAATTGAGCTGTGCATTTTCTCTTGCCTTTCATGACAGTCAAAACGTGGTTTTCTGGGGGCTGACCCTCCTTATGAACAATGATACAAGAAAAAAGCACTAATCCCATAATGCTGTTTTATATTCAAGGGAAGAGGAAGTATGTTTTATTTTTACAATCTAGATAATTACCCATTCTTCGGGACTGCCTTTCAAAATACATAGAAAACAGAAAATAGATGAGTTATGAAGATATCTAGGCACATTTATTTAACAGTCTCTCCTTTTTTTTTTTTTTTTTTTGAAACAGAGTCTCACTCTCTGGCTGAGGCTTGAGTACAGTGGCATAATCTCAGCTCACTGCAACCTCTGCCTTCCAGGTTCCAGTGAGTTTCCTGCCCCAGCCTCCCAAGTTGCTGGAATTACAGGCATGCACCACCATTCCCGGCTAATTTTTGTATTTTTGGTAGAGATGGGATTTCACCATTTTTGTCAGGCAGGTCTTGAACTGTGAACTCAGGTGCTCCACCTGCCTCAGCCTCCAAAAGTGCTGGGATTACTGGTGTGAGCCACCATGCCCTGCCACATTTAACAGTCTCTATCACACTTAGTCCTGAACAGAGAATTGTCAATATAAATTGGGGGAAGTTTTTTTTTGTTTGTTTGTTTGTTTTTTGACAGAATCTGGCTCTGTCACCCAGACTGGAGTATAATGGTGTGATCTTGGCTGACTGCAACCTCTACTTCCTGGCTTTAAGTGATTCTCCTGCCTCAGCCCCCCTGAGCAGCTAGAACTTTGGGCGGTTGCCACCACACCCGGCTAATTTTTGTATTTTTAATAGAGATGGGGTCTCACTGTGTTTGCCAGGCTGGTCTGAAACTTCCAATCTCAGGTGATTTACTCACCTTGGCCTCTCAGAGTGCTGGGATTACAAGCATGAGCCAACATGCCTGGGGAGGGGATCTTTTTTAATGTGTCAGTTCTGATTTTAACTCCCAGAAATTTGTATTACCTGGAAGTTAAAATCAGAAAAAAATTCTACAAAGAACTTGAAAGATGTTCTTTCAGGCTGGGCATGGTGGCTTTTTCAGATCGTCCCTCTGCAAGAAAGGGTTAGTTTGACAACTGGGTAAGTTTTGTTTGTTTTCCTTGCTTTGGTGCATAGTCTGCCAGGTCAGGACATGGATGTATTTTTCTCCCCACAGCTCCATGCTGGAGCCTTGGAGAGGGAGATGGCTGAGAGGAAGCCTGCCTACAAGCAGCACAGGTAGGTCATTGTAATGGATTTTTTTTTTTCCTTTTGAGTGAGAATCTTACTCTTTCTCTCAGACTGGAGTGCAGTGGTACAGTCTCAGCTCACTGCATCCTCCAATTCCCGGGTTCAAGCAATTCTCTGCCTCAGGCTCCCCAGTAGCTGGGATTACAAGCATGCACCACTACACCTGACTAGTTTTGTTATTTTAGTAGAGACAGAGTTTCTACATGTTGGTCAGGCTGGTCTCAAACTCCCGACCTCAGGCAATCAACCCACCTCAGACTCCAAAAGTGCTGGGATTGCAGGAGTGAGCCACCGTGCCCAGTTGTGATGGTCACTTTTAAGGACGTTTTTGTTTTAAGATGAAGCTTTGCGTGTCTAGTAAAGAACGTGGTGTTTTAATTCAAGTCAATTCTTCCTCTGTTTTCTATATGGGAAAGGAGGAGAAAGCAGAGAGTGCCAGAGAGACACGAGTGAGGAGCCAGCCCAGAAACTCCTGTGCACCGAGAATGCTTTCTGGAGAGGTAGGAGCTCCCATGAAGGCAGCCGCTTAATTTCTGCTGCACAATCCACACACCCTGCTTCTCCTTTTTGGGGTGAGGGCTCGGGTGGGGTAATTGTCATATTTCCTGGAAACAGTTCCAAGCACTTCTGAAGAGAACAGTTGCCCCATTGGGTGGCAGGGCCCCATTTTTCTCAGGTGCCCTAGCTGAATGGCTCTTGGCTGGTCCCCTGTGAATGGTGCAGGCCCCTCCACTGACTGTGGACATTGCCCCACCCTGACGTCTTAGTTACTTTTAACTGCGAAGATAAGCCTGCAAGGCAAATGGGCCAGCTCCCCTTCCCACCTTGAGTCAGTGTGAAGGCTTTTTCTTTCATTTGAGAAAAGTCACAACAATAGCATTTTAGAAGCTGTAAGTGCTGATGAGAGCAGAGATTTTTGGGCAATGTCTTCATGGATCAATAAGGCAGTATCATGAGGTGTGCTTTAAGAAAAGAATCATTTATTTGCACTTTTTGGACCTTCCTTCATTCTTTTTGCTTGTTTAAATTGTGGATTGTGAATTATATAACTCCTTTAGTAAGCTAAATATCTATGTAATCTTACTCCTCTAACATTTGAAGTGTGACCCTAAAACTTTCCAGTTAATTTTTTTCTTTTATTTTTGAAAACCTTGCTCTGTCACCCAGGCTGGAGTACAGTGGTGCGGTTTTTGCTCACTGCAACCACCGCAATTAAGCAATTCTCCTGCCTCAGGCTCCCAAGTAGCTGGGACTACATGAGCCTGCCACCATGCCTGACAAATTATCTCATTTTGTATTTTTAGTAGAGACAGAGTTTCACCATGTTGGCCAGGCTTGCCTCTAACTTTGCCCACCTTGGCCTTCCAAAGTGCTGGCATTACGAGTGTGAGCCATGGCACCCAGACTCCATTTAATTTCTGTAACCCTGACCTTTTCTCATGAGTGTTAGTCTCTTTATGTTCATTTCTGTTCATAAATGTTGACAATGCCTGGTGAGATATGGAGGATAGATTCACTACGAATCCACAGAATTTTAAATGCCCCTATAGCTTGAAGAAAAGGAGCAGTGCTGCTCCTGTCCTGGGCCTATAGATGTTCCTCCCATCTATGGCTGTTTCTATTTTAATTTGGAGTCTGTGATCACATGATGGGTGATTTCCATTGATGTGTACTGGGAACCCCTGATTTCAAGCTCCTTTTAGCTGGTTAGAGCCTGACCTGTCCACAGCCTGTTGAGAGTTAAGAAAACCCCTGGACTGGGGATCTGCAGTTTCTTCCTTAGAGCTGAGGCCCAGAGGACTCCTGGGTCCTCTGGGGCATCTGGCCAATAAACCCTGTGCCTCTGGTAAGGGACATGAGTGTGGCAAAGAGAGTGAGATGGCAGTGGAGGGCATGTAGGGTTTCTTATTCGGCACAGAACATGCAAGCCAGATTTAGTTCCATTCCCTTCTCCGGCCCTTAGCAGATTCAGGACCTCATTCGGTTCCCATGAGGAACAGCAGCTGTGACCCAACTGAAAACGTGGAGAAGACAAAGGTAAATACTGGGGTCATTTTCACTCTGCCTGTATCAGGACACTGTAGTCTTTTCCTCCATCACCTTCTCCTGGCCTGGCCTCTGCTCTGTGGGTTCTGTGATATGTTTTCTGTCTGGACTTTTTCAGAAGCAGCATCTTCCCCATAAGCTTTCTGGCTTCTCCATTCCCAGCTAGTCATCTTGGGTGGCACCTCCAGAAGCCATAAATGCTTAGGCACTGAGGGCTGAAGGGCTTTTACTATTCTGTTTCCAGAAATAACATGAGGAATGTCACCGACCTCCACCTCTGTAGGTCTCATGGCCCAGTGAACTCTGACTGCTCTCTTCTACTCAAGGTGTTGTGGGGTCTATTTCAGAAATATGTGTGGTTTTATTTTGCTGTGATTTTTGTTTTCTTCTATAAGGTAGGTGATTAACATTTGAAATATCTGCTGTATTCCCAGAAGTGACGAAAGTGAAAACTCATTAATCCAACATTAATATGTGCTTTGTGCAATTTTGAATGCTCTTCAACAAGGTCAATTCCATATTTCATCACAGTCCCATTCCTGTTGTTAACTGTGTTGTGCAAAAACCCACCTTCACCCCGCTTCAGTGGTGCCCTGATCTAATATTCTAAGTCTCAGAGTTTCTGTACTTGTAATAAAAAATACGTCTCGACTGTGAGTTAGTGAAAGTGAATGTAACCTATTACCCACAGCGACGATTCCCAACGAAGGCCTTAAATGATGCTCAGCTATGCTGGTTCTCGTATAACAGCTGCTGAGGCTTATGATTACACATGATGGGAACTGTACACTTGAAATTAAACACATTTCTAAAACTTGCTTTTTTCAGAATTTATACCTTGTACATTTCTATGTACAAAAGTATTATTTATGTCATAATGCACTTAACATTTGTATCGCCTGGGAATTCAAAGAGACATTCTAGCCATGCCTGACTGACTTTTGTATGTCGGATTGTTCTGTCAGAAAACCTCCCAGTTCCCCTGAATGTCTTTAGGAATCCATATTTCCCCAGAGCTATTTGTGCTCACGGGGGGCACCCCCAGAGTGAACAAGACCCTTTGTCAAGAAGGGAAGTGGAGGGGAAATGAGAGGGTCCTACAGGCAGAGCTGGAATCTATTCCCACTGTGCCTCCTGCAAGCTGTGTGACCCTGGGCACATGATCTTCTTCCTTGGGGAGCTTCTGTTTTTTTAGATTTGGAGCAGGTGGTCACACTGACTTGCAGAGTTCTGAGAATCAGAGACAACGTAAAAGGCCTGGAGAACATTCTCCAAAAAGAAGCTGCAACACGTGTGGACAATGGGCTTTTCATGCCTCTCTTACTCGCTGTTTATCTGATGCAAGGAGCATGCTCTGGCGATGGTGGTGAGGGAGGAAGGAAGATAGACATAGACACTCCCGTGTGGGAAACGTACTTCTTCCTTACTGGGCTATGACTCTGTCTCCCCTGGGGCAGGACCCAGCCTGCCTACATTTGCAGACAGACACAGTGGCATGTGGAGAAAACAGTTTGACCCAATGACTTTTCTTCACTCCCCAGCTGTCGGTGGTACTTGGTGGAAGGGTGACTTCATGATACTGATGTGCTATTTTTGAAACCTGGAGGTTGGAAAGGTGCAAAAAACTATCAGCAGCAACATAAGGTTCAGCCTGTGTTGTTGATGGTAGTTCTGTCCATCAAACTAATACATTTCAAACCACTTCCTCCTTCTGCCTGCAGGTTAACATGGCTGCCGCACAGCATCATCATTGCTCTGCATTGCCCTCCTCGCCCTACCTCATGGCTGACCGTTCAAGGCCACTGATGGCTTGCCAGCCACCTCCTCCATCTGGATGTCACCTGGGAGCTCAACCATTTTCATCAGCTAAAGGTGTTCTGGGACCTCTGAAAACCCCTCAACTCTAGTGTCCTCCTGGACCTCAGCCAACCTCTCCAGTTGATACATTTTGGGGACCACAGACACTGACACATCAGTGTCTTCTGTTACCTCTACCACCCGTAGCCAATGATTTTCTGAGTTCATACACAACACCCAAGTGTCTTCTGACACCTTTACCACCACCTACAGATGATGAGTTTTCAAGACCACAGACACTGACACATGAGTGTCTTCTAGCACCTGTACCACCTGCTCCACATGATAATCTTTGGAGGCCATGGTCACCTCCACCCAAGTGTACTCTTTTACCTCTGCCACCATCTCAAGCTGAAGATTTTCTGGGACCAGACACACCACCACCTGAGTGTCTTCTGACACCTCTACCGCCATCTACAGATGATGAGTTTTCGAGACCACAGACACCTACACATGAGTGTCTTCTAGCACCTGTACCACCTGCTCCACATGATAATCTTCGGAGACTATGGTCACCTCCACCCAAGTGTCTTCTGACCCCTCTACCACCATCTACAGATGATGAGTTTTTGAGACCACAGACACTGACACATGAGTGTCTTCTAGCATCTGTACCACCTGCTCCACATGATAATCTTTGGAGACCATGGTCACCTCCACCCAAGTGTCTTCTGACATATCTACCACCATCTACAGATGATGAGTTTTCAAGACCACAGATGCTGACATATGAGTGTCTTCTAGCACCTGTACCACCTGCTCCACGTGATAATCTTTGGAGACCATGGTCGCCTCCAGCCGAGTGTATTCTGTTACCTCTACCACCATCTTAAGCTGAAGATTGGGACCACACACACCTCAGCCACCTGATCCTATCTGTCCTGGGGGACCCCATCCACCTCATTCCCCCTGAGAGTCCCAGGGGACCCCATCCACCTCATTGCCCTGTGTGTCCTTGGGGACCTCATTCAGCTTATTGCCCTGTGTGTCCTGGGGGACCCCATCCACCCCATCGCCCTGTGTGTCCTTGTGGACCCCATCTACCTCATTGCCCTGTGTGTCCTGGAGGAACCCATCCATTTCATTGCCCTGTGTGTCCTGGGGGACCCCATCCACCTCGTTGCCCTGTGTGTCCTGGGGGACCCCATCCACCTCATCCCTTTTGTGTGTCCTGGGGGACCCCATCTACCTCATCACCCTGTGTGTCCTGGGGGACCCCATTCACCCCATCGCCCTGTGTGTCCTGGGAGACCCCATCCACCCCATCACCCTGTGTGTCCTGTGGAACCCCATCCACCCCATCACCATGTGTGTCCTGGGGAACCCCATTCACCTCATCACCCTGTGTGTCCTCAGGGACCCCATTCACCTAATCCCCCTGTGTGTCCTCAGGGACCCCATTCACCTAATCCCCGTGTGTCCTCGGTGACCCCATCCACATCATCATCCTGTGTGTCCTGGGGGACCCCCATCCATCTCATTACCCTGTGTGTCCTGGAGGACCCCATCCACCTCATTTCCCTAGATTTTATGGCCCCAGGAGACTAACAGGATGGATCTTATTAGCTGTGGCCTTGGTCTCTAGAATCAGGTCAACTCTGGTGGGGAACTCAAGGCCAATACTGAGCTGTTCTCGCATCACCCTATCCTCAGCAACCTCTCTCTTCTTGCAACTCCCAGCTTTGCATCTCCCCACCATGGCCTGCAAAATCCTCCCCCTTCACTGTGTCCCTGCTGCCTGAGCCCAGACACAAATTCTCAGTGGGGCTCAGAGCCCCAGCTTTCTCAGAAATGAGCTGGGACTGATGTGGTTATGAGGTCATGGTGAGGACAAGGAGACCAAGCCCATAAGGAAAGCATCTTGCAAAATAGCTGCTAAAAGGGAGAACCTCCTCCCTCTTACTGGTTTCATGAAAATATTCCCACTCAGAAGATCAGCATAAGATGTTCATTGATGTTTACTAAGCTTAGGGTGTAACAGCTCAGAACCCAGGATTTCCAATCTCCATTTCAAAAGTTAAGTGATAGCCTCAGATTCTTACGAGATGAAGAGATTAAAGGAATGCATACACAGTTAAACTCTGAGAGCTGTATCTGTGATCTGCAGATAATTATTATTCATGACATATGCAGCCACACACGGAAGCATTCAGTCGGTGTACAGGTATTTTATAGAAGACAAAATGTATATTGGGCCAAAAAGATCACATGGAAATAAACCGAAAGAACTTTGTTTTCACTATGAAAATGCTTTAATACTGTTGTCTGTACAGCATGGGATGTGGACAGGGAAAACAGCAAGTGCACACAAACAGGCACAGGCCAGAAGGCAGGCTGGGAGTGCATAAAGAGTTCACACGGCTTCCCTACTTTTCCTGGTGACTGGAGGCTCTAGGCCACCTCCTCCTCGAATTCACCCTCCTCAATCGTGGCGTTCTAGTACTGTTGGTATTTGAACACCAGGTCATTCATGTTGCTCTTGGTCTTGGTGAACTCCATCTCACCCAGGCCCTCACCCATGTAGCAGTGCAGGAAGGTCTTGTGCAGAAACATGGCTGTGAACTGCTCCAAGATGCACTAGCACAGCTCCTGGATGGTCCTGCTGTCGCCAATGAAGGTGGCAGATGTTTTTAGCCCTTGGGGTGGGAAGTCAGAGACAGCCATTTTCTCATTGTTGGGGGTCCACTCAACAAAGTAGCTGCTGTTCTAGTTTTGGACATTAAGCATTAGCATCCACCTTCTTCATGCACGTGCAGCCCCTGAACATGGTGGCCATCATCAGGTAGCGGCCATGGAGGGGGTCACAGGCTCTCATGTTCTTGGCATCCAACATCTGCAGGATGAACTCAGGCACTGTCAGGGGCCGGGACTGCTGGCTTACCTGGCTGGTCAGCGGGGCAAAGCTGGGCATGAAAATGTGCCATTGTGGGAATGGGACCATATTTACGGCCAGCTTCTGCAGATCAGGATTGAGCTGGCCTGGGAAACACAGGTAGGTAGTTACTACGCTCATGGTGGCAGACACCAGATGGTTCAGGTCACCGTGGTGGGCATAGCACCATTAGGGTTCTGAAGCAGATGTCACAGCTTCATTATCGATGCAGCAGGTCTTGTTTGCGTTTCCTATGAGCTGGTGGATGGAGAGGGTGGCATTATAGGGCCCCACCACCATATCTGACACCTTGGGTGAGGGCACCACAGTGAACATTTTCATGATCCTGTCTGGGTACTCCTGGATTTTGTTGATGAGAAGGGTACCCATCCCAGACCCAGTTCCCCCACCCAGGGCGTCTGGCCACTTTGCTGCTTTATTTTGTGTTTTTAAATATACTTCTGGATTCAATATGCTGTTACTTAGTTTTATGCTCAGATACCTTTGTGTTAGCTGCTATATACCTAACAAATATTTTATTTATTTAAAATATTTAGATTAATAGAGGGCCAGGCGAGGTGGCTCATGCCTGTAATCCCAGCACTTTTGGAGGCCAAGGCGGGTGGATCAAAAGGTCAGGAGTTCGAGACCAGCCTGACCAACATGGTGAAACCATGTCTCTACTAAAAATACAAAAATTGGCTGGGTGTCATGGCACACACCTGTAATCCCAACTGCTCAGGAGGCTGAGACAGGAGAATTGTTTCACCTGGGGAGGTGGAGGTTGCAGTGAGCCAAGATTGCACCTTCAGAGGTGTTGGGGTCAAATATAAATACTCTCTGGCTCCTCCTATGCTTAGTTGGGCCTCTCAAGTGGGTTAGGAAAGACTGTTTCAAGAGTGGTTGTGTCAAGCATTGATGGAAGGGAAGGGAGGATAAAGGAAAAGATGAGCAAATTAAATCCTAGGTTAGTTTAGAGTTAGTCTGTGTTGTGTGAAATCAGTTCAGGTTTCAGTAAGCAGTAACCCTCTTGACAAAAAGAAAAGACAAAGGAAAGAAATCATTCTGAATTCTGATGTTTGATGATAAAGCATTTTAAATTTTCTAAAGCAGGCTCAGAGGTAGGCAGAAAGATTTGATGCAAAAAAAAAAAAATTTACCCCTTCCATGAAGGAAGAAACACTTTGGGAAGACATCCCAAGAGATTCAGGAAGAAGAAAGCAAGGTAAGTGCTGTGGTTTGAATGCCTCCTTCAAAATTTATGTTGCAATTTGTCATTGTGATGGCATTAAGAGGTGAGACCTGGCTGGGCATGGTGGCTCATGTCTGTAATTCCAGCACTTTGGAAGGTTGAGGCGGGTGGATCACCTGAGATCGGGACTTCAAGAACAGCTGGCCAACATGGTGAAACCCCATCTCTACTAAAAACACAAAAACTAGCCAGGAAGGGGTTTTGGATACCTGTAATCCCAGCTACTTGGTTGGCAGAGAGAGAAAGAGAGAAAGGAAGGAGGAGGAAGAAAGATGGGAAGAGAGAGAGGAAGGGAGGGAGGGGAAAAGAAAGAGAAGAGAAGAAAAAAGGAAGAGAGGGAGGGAAAAGGAAAAGAAGGAAGGAGGGAAAGAGCAAGAAGAGAGAAAAAGAGAAGGAAGGAAAGGAGGGAGGGAAGGGAAGGAGGGAGGGAAGTTAGAAAATGAATACTCTTTCTAAGTCACAGCTGAGGTCACAAAAAATAAAAAAATGTAAACTTGCCCCAAAAAATAAAAAGAAATTTAAAAAAATAAAATAATCCAGCACAGACTAAAACCTTCAAAAGGACAAAGCCTGTGAGTGGTGAGAAATGACCCTGTGGCTGCACAGGCTGAGGGGAGAGAGGCCTCTGGTCTTGGCCACCAATGCGGATGTTCTTAATGTCTGCCTCTCTTAAACATTTACAATGGAAAAAAAATGTTTTTTTAATTGCAATGTTTGTCTTGTTTTATGCTTTATATTTTCAAAGTGAAAGGCAATAACATTGAGTCCATTTCTTTCTTTCTTTTTTTTTTCTATGTATTTAAAAGCCTTGAAGTTGCTCTAAAGATTTCAAAAGTATTGAGTAGGGCCGGGCATGTTGGCTCATGCCTGTAATCCCAGCACTTTCAAAGATGGAGGCGGGCAGAACACCTGAGGTCAGGAGTTCAAGACCAGCTTGGCCAACATGGTGAAACCTGACTCTTCTAAAAATACAAATATCAGCTGGGCATGGTAATGTGCCCCTGTAATCCCAGCTACTTGGGAGGCTGAGGCAGGAGAATCACTTGATCCTGAGAGGCGAAAGTTGCAGTCAGCCGAGATCATGCCACTGCACTCCATTCAGCCTGGGTCACAGAGTGAGACTCTGTCTCAAAGAAAGAAAAAAGGCATTGAGACTCTGTCTCAAAGAAAAAAAAAGGCATTGAGACTGTCTCAAAGAAAAAAAAAATTCTTGGAGTTCTGTGGTCCACAGCATTTCCTTCTGTTTCAATCTACATATATTTTGATTACTATTGTAATCTTTTAAATTTTCTAAAGCAGGCTCAGAGGTAGGCAGAAAGATTTGATGCAAAAAAAAAAATTCTTTTTTACCTTATTCACCACAAAGCTTCTCAAATCTAGCCTAAATATTCTACCTTAAAACAAACATGAAGTGCATCTGAATGGGAAGGAAATTTATTTTTCTGCTTTTCTATCATACAAGTAATTTACAGAAACTACAAATTAAGACAGTACAGTGGCTCACACCTGTAATCCCAGCACTTTGGGAGGCCGAGGTGGGCGGATCACCTGAGCTCAGGAGTTTTGAGACCAGCCTGGCCAACATGGTAGAACCCCCTCTCTACTTAAAATACAAAAAATTAGGTCAGGTGTGTTGGCTCACACCAGTAATCCCATCTCTACTAAAAATACAAAAATTATTGTATTTTTTAGTAGGGTGTGGTGGCACATGCCTGTAATCCCAGCTACTGGGGAGGCTGAGGCAGAAGAATCGCTTGAACCTGGGGGGTGGAGATTGCAGTGAGCCCAGATGGCACCATTGCACTCCAGCCTAGACAACAGAGTGAGACTCCCTCTAAAAAAAAAAAGAAAAGAAAAGAAACTGCAAATTAAAAGATTACTTAGGGTGGAAAATTTCAAACAGCTTGAAGTGCAGAGGCCAGGACGAGGTCTCTCTCAGTGCCACCACTCCCACAACAGCAACTAACATTCTGCCCTTCCTCTGCTCTTACCTCCTCTCTCCAGCTTTGCATGGGGATTTCACACAAATCCAACACATCATATGACTTTGCCTGTAGACACTTGGGAATGTTCTCTAATCATTAAAGCCTGATTTCCCAACAAAGAACCACCCAACCAAATTAACAATAATGTCTTGTTATCACCTTGCTATATGTTATTAATAATTTCCTGTTATCAATAACCAGTCTGTCACCCATTGTTTATGATGATCTCAAAAATGTCCTTGTAAGGCCCGGCCTGATGGGTCATGTCTGTAATCCCAGCCCTTTGAGAGGCAGAGGCAGGTGGACTGTTTCAGGACGGGAGTTTGAGAGCAGGCCGGGCACCATAGCAAAACCTCATCTCTACAAAAACTACACAAAAATTATCTGGGCATGGTGGCACGTGCTTGTAGTCCCAGCTATTTGAGAGGTTGACGTGGGAGGATCGCTTGAGCCGGGGAGGTTGAGGCTGCAGCGAGCTGTGATGGCATCACTCCACTCCAGCCTAAGCAACAGAGACCTGCTCTAAAACAAATAAATACAATCAACAGCCAACAGATTGGGACAAAATATTTGCAAATGATATATCTGATAAGGAGCTAGTGTCCAAAATATATAAAGAATTCCTTCAAGTAAACAACAACAAAACACCCAGTTTTAAAAAGGGCGAAAAGGTGCACAGATATTTCCTTTTTGTTTTTTAAGCAGACATTGCTTCCGGTCAGGCACAGTGACTCACGCCTGTAATCCTAGCACTTTGAGAGACTAGGACAAGCAGATTGCTTGAGGTCAGGAGTTGGAGACCAGCCTGGCCAACATGGTGAAACCCTGTCTCTACTAAAAATATAAAAAGTATCCAGGTGTGGTGGTGGGTGCCTGTAAATTTCAGCTACTTGGGGGGCTGAGGCAGGATAATCGCTTGAACCCAGGTGGCAGAGGTTACAGTGAACTGAGATTGCACCCCTGCACTCCAGCCTGAGTGACAGAATGAGACTGCTCAAAAAAAAAAAAAAAATTAAATTTCAAAAAGGCCAGGCATGGTGGTTCATGCCTATAATCCCAGCACTTTGAGATGCTGAGGTGGGAGGATCACTTGAGCCCAGGAGTTAGAGGCCAGCCTGGGCAATATAGTGAGACCCAAATCTCTTCCAAAAAAAAAAAAATTAAAAATTAGCTGGGTGTAGTGGCTCACACCTATGGTCCCACCTACCTGGGAATCTGAGCCGGGAGGATTGCTTGAGCCCAGGTGGTCAAGGCCGCAGTGACCCATGATGGCACCACTGCATTCCAGTCCGACAGAGCAAGACCCTGTCTCAAAAAGAAATAATTTAAGGGCCGGTCGAGGTGATTCAGACCTGTAATCCTGGCACTTTGGAAAGCAGAGAAGGACAGATTGCCTGAGCTCAGGAATTTGAGACCACCCTGGGCAACATAGCAAAACCCCATCCCTACTAAAAATACAAAAAATTAGCTGGGTGTGGTGGTGGGCCTGAGACCAGACTGGCCAACATGATGAAACCCCATCTCTGCTAAAAATACAAAAATCAGCTGGGCATAGTGGTGCCTGCCTGTAATCCCAACTGCTCAGGAGGCTGAGGCAGGAGAATCATTTGAACCTGGAAGGCAGAGGTTGCAGTGAGTTGAGATCATGCCACTTCACTCCAGCCTGGGCGACAGACTGAGACTGTCTCAAAAAACCCAGCTACTCAGGAGGCTGACCGCTTGAGGACAGGAGTTTAAACCAGCCTGGGGAACATAGCAAGAGCCCATGACTACAAAAAATAAAAATAAATTAGCCCAATATGGTGGCATATGCCTGAGATCCCAGCTACTCTGGAGGCTGAAGCAGGAGGACTGCTTGAGCCAGGAGGTTGAGGCTACAGCAGGCTACGATTGCACCACTGCACTCCAGCCTGGGCAACAGAGAAAGACCCTGCTTCAAAAGAAAAATAAAGGCCAGGCACCATGGCTAATGCCTATAATCCCAGTACTTTGGGAGGCTGAAGTGGGCAGATCACGAAGTCAGGAGTTCAAGACCAGCCTGGTCAACATGGTAAAACCCCATCTCTACTAAATATATAAAAATTAGCCAGGTGTAGTGGCTCACGCCTGTAGTTCCAGCTACTCGGGAGGCTAAGGAGGGAGAATCACTTGAG